CTGACGAATATGTATTTTAGTAAAATAATGAAATTTGGGAGGCACAGTCCAGTTTAGTTTCACTGAAGATCTGTATGGAAAAATAGTTCCAGTAGGCAAGCATGTTAGTCGGCTCTCCTTTTTTTGTAGACTATAATCCATATCTTTGGACAGTGATGGAACTAATGTGTGAAATCTGGAGATATCACGTCAATAATATAATGTTGTTGTCTGTATATGCAGACCTAATTTAACAAATGAATCTACGTTACATGGGATTTATACCAGTTGGGTCTCCTTTTTTTTAGACTACGATCCATATCTGTGTAGAGTGATGGAACTAATGTGTGAAATCTAGAGACATCATGCCGACAATAATCTAAACAATATAATGTTGTTGTCTGTGTATACAGTATAAATCAAAAGGGGACAGGGGTTAGGGATAAATCTGACCTTAAAGAGTAGAACCATCATTGTTATATGTACCAGCTGCTGTTGCCTATTCATGAAAGGAAAACATGTAAAGTCCAGTAAGCAGGTATACGTTGGAAATCAACATCAAAGGAGAGGAGGTTCAAATTTTGTTTAAATATGGCTAGGCATCATCGAGCACTAACTATCATCGGCCCTTACAAAAAGCAGCATATAATATTTTTCATTGTAGGCAAAATTAACTGTAAAAAATAGTGCCTGCCATGTTTGGATAGCACATTTAGAGCAGCAAGTAAAATGGATGTGCATACAGAGCATACCAATATACCATTGCAAGATACTCAGCCATATGATAGTTTACCTCATGGAAGCTGAAGTCCCTTGTTTCATACTGTCATTTTTATGAAATGTAGCTGGGAAAGTCATAATAAATTGGTCACCCTTCTCAAAAATCAGGAATTAGCTGTAACAGCGATAGATGTATAAGGCATCAATTCGAATTTGCGTGACACTGATACTCTATTGAGCAGTACACAATACACAGGAAGCTCAGTCTGACACACCGACAGACAAAAAAGATCAAGCTTAACTTGTGACTTGTGAGTTGTGACACACTGACAGACACAAACTGTTTTTCAGAGGTAGGCTACACACAATCTGTACATACTGAATTGTAATGCTTCTGCTGGCTGAATGGTCTCTGAATTCGATAAGCACATTCAAAATAAAACGCTGTAGTTCCCATGTACTTTTAGATTACACAACACTCAGTCCATGCACAGCTGTAGCTCCCATGTACATGGTACTGCAAGCCCATTGAGCCACGTATATGCATATATACTACCATTCCAAGCTGAGGCTTTTGCAGCCTGATAAAACTATTAAGTGGTTCAAATAATAGTGATGGAATATGCATGCCTATGCCCCATAGTACAATGTTTGGCATCTGATGCCATGAATCTGCATCATAGGATTCAGGCTGTCTTAGCAAACAATCTTTCCTCTGTATTTCATCAATGCTATGTGCACAACATATATGATTGAGCATCTATCTTCCACTTGTAGTCGGTGAAGACTTGCCTAAACCGTGTCATTCATCCTTGTTGAACATAACCTGCACTTGAACATTATGACGTTAGATATCATATATATGTTGACAGGTCCAAGTAAATGGTCCAAGTAAATGCATCCTTCTCGAGTGAAATAATTTCTAGAAAAGGATTGCACTTCTAACAATGTTCAGATGCTTAGTGCTGATTCAACATGGACTCATGATCTTTTGTAATCAAGTCAGGTTGTTAAATATATGAAAGACATTCGCATTTAATTTCACAGCTAAAAGATGGGTCATGTGACAAAATAATTTACATGCTGTAAAATCAAGAAATGGTCAAACACAGTGAAACTATCGCGCAATGCACCCAATCAACGACTGTACTAACAAAAGAAACTAAGAAAGCAACATACACTAGTAGAATTGTAAACAGAACAATCCACGCTATAAACACTGACAGAAATACAACGCAGGGAGCAGCAACATCAAAATGCTCCCAGATTCTAGCATCGAGGAGAGGATAACCTACACCAGGAAGATCTTTAACGAGCAAGTCAATCATCCACAACATTGAGAATTGTGGATTCATTGTTCTATAAAAGATAGATTGAACAAAGACTTGAAAAACATACCATTTAATAGCTAAACCAGAAACACCTTAAGCATCTTCCAGTTTCCATTGGTGCCTAAACAAATTGGAAACAGAAGTCTTGCACAGGCAAAGAAATCTGTGCCAAACCATATGGGCCACAGACAACTATATATGGAACCTAACATCCAGATATTTTCTGTTTCAAAACTTAAATATTTTAGATTTCAGATAGCTGAACAATTAAGCAGTTACGACATTAAAGATGCTGAATCAAAGATATGGTCTGAAGGGGGAGGGCATGTACCTTGAGCAAGGAGAGCAACAACACTAAACACTAAACACTAAACAGAGACTTGAATAATGGGTTAGAAAATGCACCTGGGGCCAGCAAGCAAACACATACCACATGCACGGACCAAAACAAATACATCCACACTCAGCTAACCATGATACACACATCCCCTTGAATTTTCATCGAGCTCTTCTTTCAAATCAGCGTTGTGAAAAATCGATTGCTTTAGCAGCCTGCAATCAGAATTAAGCCATCTTGATCAACCAGGAGCACCCTACACTGTCGTTCTCCAAGGCAATCAAACAGAAAAATCCTTGGCAACCACCATTCACAAAACAAGGAAATGCTTCCATAACCAAAATCATGAACACCTGTCACCTTACATCTGTATTAAATCGCAGGTGGTCACAAAATGTGAATCCCTGGCATGTAAGATCGAGTATCATCTAACAAAACCTGACCATGCTGTGACTCTATGATCAATTTCCTACCCTGTTCAGCCAATACAGCATGCCCTAATTCCTTCTAAAAGAGCAAGAAGAAACACTTAGCAGATTAGGTAACAATTTCCCCAACTGGTTACAAGCCGCCATTAACCAGGTGCCCTGCAATGCCTCAGCAAAAGCGGTACATGTATGGACTGAGTGCACTGAATGGATCCTTAGCAAACCAAACCATGCTTACCAATGCCATTTGATTGCTTGTGTTATTACTTGGGCATAATATGATGCATGTCTCAAGCTTCTACCTTCTCATAGAAAAGAAGGAAAGCCTCACACTTGAGAACTTTGTCTAGGGAGACTTCTCTGATGCTTTTATCATTTGCACGAAACCATGAGGAAGAGCTACTGCTCGTCTCCTGCTCACTGACAATCCTGCTTTCTCTCACATAAGCGACAAAGTGCCCCCATGTTATGGTCCTGCGGCAATGCTCAATGACACCAACTAGGCGATATTTGGCATTATCTTTGTCCCTGGACCTCAAAGGTTTGCAAAATAATAATTCAAAAGGTCACGCAAACAAAATGTTAGATTAGCTATCAGCATCACTAACAAGAAAATACTATCAGATTAGCAGTTTTGGCATATATCAAGTGACTAGCTGATTCCCAAACATAAAACAGAATTAGTGTGACACAGTACAATTGTATTAATAGTCAGTTCATTTCATTGTTTATGCGGACAGAAAGGGAAAATAAAATCCTTAGCTGTTCCATTTTGCGGAAAAGGGTCACATAGCCATTGGCACATGTCGCATATCACCTCTGTGTGAGACCCAATACCACCAGTCAGGCAGTCACCACAATTCAATTAGACTTCCCAATCAGCGTGCAATGGAAGTACCAGATGCTAGTTGCCTATTCTCCCATTTTCACATTACAGTCAGATACTAAAAAGCATGTAACAAATAAACTATAGAAACCTTTCTTCTGTACCATTTTTTTTAAAAAATTCAGACCTTTTTCAACACTAGTAATATTTCTGTGCATATACTACAGGGGTCACACTTGGGTCACCAGGAGTGACAAAAACCCAGCAGAAACAACACAGAAAACAAAAGAAACCCAAGTAACAAGAGACGAAGTGATAAATTATTAAGAACTCAAACAAATTTATTTCTAGCACTACTACAGGACAGACAGTGGCAACTGGAAATTCTTTTAGAGACATAAAAAACTATATCTTATTCAATCTTTCCTAAAGATACTGAACAAACTATGAAATAAAAAGTAGCTATTGCAAATGAGAAACTTCGAACTGCACAAAAGTAATAGCTATTCCAGTTAAAAACTTCGAACTTGGTTCTTCTCTCACTTGGTTTGCAGTATTTTCCAGCTCTACTTGAGTTCTGTCTTGATTTAGCGCGCTGGCATTTTTGTTATCATGGCACTCAACAGGTTGCTCTTTTACTCCACTTCTCTGTGATGGTCACGTTCAGATCGGGCCATCAAGTGATGTGCTTTCACTGATGTTTGCCACCTATCTTCTATCTTTGCTTCGGCAGGTGGGGCAAGAGAAAGCAAAATCTTTTCAGCACGCTGGTCCTTCCCATTGTTCCTTTCATGACAAAGCCTGTTTATCACAAATAATACAAAATACAGAAAGTAATAAACGTTGGAAAACATACTAATAAATTTCTATCCACTGAAAGTGCTCCCACAATGCAACTATTGAAGTATGAATACATTGTGGATTCATTGTTTTATAAAAGATAGATTGAGCATAGACTTGAAGAACATACCAATTAATAGCTAGCTAAACCAGAAGCACCTGAAGCATCTTCCAATTTCTAGTGGTGCCTAAACAAATTGAAAACAGATTGTCTAGCACAATCAAAGAAATCTGCACCAAATCATATGGGCCACAGAAAACTATATTATATATGGAACCTAAAATCCAGATACTTTCTGTTTGAAAACTTAGTATTTCAGATTTCAGATACTTATATAGCTGCATAATTAAGCAATACGACATTAAAGGTGCTGAATATAATCAAAGATCGTGCCGGGAAGGGAAGGGGATGGCATGTACCTTGAACAAGGAGAGCAGCAACACCTGTAAGTAAGCAACTAAAACAGATACTTGAAGAATGGGTTAGAGAAGGCACCTGGGGCCAGCAAGAAAACACATACCGCACACACGGACCAAACCTAACACATGTCCATCTCCGGAGGGGGAGGTGGGAGCTGCTCCGCTGCCGGCGCCCGGTGCTGCTGCGGCGGATCGATCGTCACGTGGTACACGCCATCCACGCGCATGTAGTAGCGGATGAACACGCACGCGATGAGCCACGTGGAGGCGTAGCAGAGGGACTGCACGACGCGGCTGACGAGTGTCCAGAAGCGGGCCTGCTCTCCGTCTGTGTAGAAGGAGAGGAGATTGACGATGACGTTCAGATACTGGATCCCAACGTAAGCGCAGAGGAGGTTCTCCCCGGTGCGGCCCATGCCGCCGAACACGCAGTACATGGCGTACGGAAAGAGCTTCATCTTCATCGGCGGCCATGGCCGCTCCTCATCCTCCGCCACCACGGGTGGGGACGGAGGAGGCGGGCTCGGCATCGCAACGGGATCCGAAGGGGCGACGACTAGAGAGGAGAGGGGATCGGGCGAGGAAGGAGGAGCACCTGCGGACATCGGGCGAGGAGGGAGGAGCCCCAGCGGCCTTGCCGGAATCGATCGAGGGAGCCACCGGATCGAGATCGCGAAGCGCGCGCGCGGAGCTGTGGCCGGAGATCGAGATCAGGCTGCGGGAATCGTAAACCTCTGGGGATTGCTCTGGGAAGGGGGGAGGCGGCGGCGATGCGCTACAGGGTTTTATTGCCCGGGAAGATGGAGTCACAGAGTCGGTTTGTGGCGTTCGCGGATCCTTCACGCGCGGTCTGCGGGAAGTGGAAGGAGAGCGGGCTTTTTTTCAATACCGTCTTGCGTCTTTACCTCTTGAGTCTTTTTTTACAAAAATAAATAAATTAAATAAAATGGGTGCATGTGTGTAACCCATAAATAAATCATCGTATGGCATATTAATATTGAGAATTGAGAATAGCTGGATATATTGACTCCAATCTCGTAACAGTTGTTCTGCCAGCATCATACAATGGTTTAGTATATTTTTAGGATTTTTTTAACAACGCATATAAAGTAAAATGACCTTTTAGACTTTAGAGTATACAAGCAAATATGCTCATACGTTGCAATAGGGGAAAAACCGTCTTAAAAATGTAATGGACAACGATTATTACAATTTAATTTTTTGTCTTTTCTATACATGCATGGAACAAAATAAAAGGCATCATAAGGCCAGGTTAGCTTACCGTAAATTTCTGGAGGGTTTCACAATTTTTTTTAATATCTTTTTTGATTTTCTGGGTCCAGTGTCCATGAGCACACTAACGCGTGAGAAACCACTTCTTGTCTCTTTATTTTCTCTGATCTTGCTGCTTGCGAGAGGCAAGCATGCTCATGAAGCAGAGCTCAGTGCGATCTCCTCCAAGGCCCTTGCAACAACGCTAACATGTGAGCTTCCAGAGTAGTTTGTCCTGCTAGAGCACCTTGGGGTGGCGTTAATAAGCAAGCTCAGTGAAGCGGGTCCTGGTGGAGCCCCTTTGAACACGACCAAGTCTCGCATTTGAGTGAGTTAGAGATCTCGGGCTGCAGAGTGCAAAGGATGGTGGGTCCTGGCGTCAAGGTGTCAACTACGGCGCGAGAGGCTTGAAGCGACGATGGCCTTCTTGCTATGTGCTAGGCCGTTTCAAGCAGCTACCTACCATGGCCACCATGAGGTCCATGGCGCATAGCGCGGTGGATGAGCAGTGCGACAGGCCGGCGGCTTGGCCGTAGCGGCTCAGCCATGTTGTCGGGGACCAATACTAGGGTACCCGAAGAAGAGGAGTTGATACCCATCAACGCTAATTAATTAGAGCGATCAAGAACACGACTACATTTCCCAGTAGGCCCTGCCTCGTCCAAACCACCAAGGCCGCAGGCTCTATTTCATCCGATCATCCGACCCCCGAGGGTTGGGAACGCCTCAGGCTGACTCCCGAGGGATGGCTCCGCCTCGTCCGTCGTTTGAGAGCTGGCTCCGCCTCGCCCGATCCCCGAGGGTTGGTTCCGCCTCGCCCGACGTCTGAAGGATGGCTCCGCCTCGCCCGACGTCTGAGGACTGGCTCCGCTTCGCCCGACCCCCGAGGGTTGGCTCCGCCTCGCCCGACGTAAGAAGGATGGCTCCGCCTAGCCCAACATGTGAAGGATGGCTCCGCCTCGCCCGACGTCTGAGGACTAGCTCCGCTTCGCCCGACCCCCGAGGGTTGGCTCCGCCTCGCCCGACGTCTGCACGTGATTCCTCCCTAACGACGCACGGAGATAAGGCAGGGCACTCAAGTCAACCGCAATACCGAGGACCATCCCCTACACGCCTGCAGGAAAGTACCGTCAGGATATGACAAGAAGGGCGCTTTGAGACCTTCCAGGCATGTCAGAGCTCAAATAGTGTTCTAGGCGTCGACATTTGTCTTACAATGTTGTGGGCGCCGCCATTTGCCCTCGGGCGTGGATCCTGACGGAAGCTCACAACAACCACTACGGTCTAGGAGGAAACTCACATCACCTCCTTTGCCTCTGGTTTTTCTCCCATCCGTAATCCCTGCTCTCCCTTGGCCTATAAAAGGGAAGGCAGGGCACCCCACTAAGGGGATCGATTCATCACATCACGCATCACCTTACACTTAGCTAAGCGGCAACCAAGCTCTCAGCACCCATTTGACCTTTCCATCAGAGACTTAGGACCTATCCCTCTCTCGCCCGTTTGGAACCCCTACTACGAACTTTTTAGTGCTAATAACACAAGCATCAGCCACGAACTGGACGTAGGGACATTCTGCCCGAACCAGTATAAACCTTGTGTCTTTTTAGCATACCATCTAGGCCAGACGAGCAATAACACAAATTTACTCGTTGGTATTTACTCGAAACACTGACAGTTGGCGCGTCAGGTAGGGGCCTTTGCGCGTCCCGACATTAACATCAGGCCACGGATGGCTAGTCACGGCATCAGCTGGGTCCAGGGCACACACGTGCGCTTCGGGGACCTAGACTTCATCATCACGGTGGGAGGAGAGTTGGCATTAGCTCACGCCACCATCAAACCTCTCCCCTCAATCGGCCTCGACACAGTCGACGAGGTGGTTGAGGAGCTGCAACTGCATGCACCGGGGGCCTACGCCCCCGAAAACAACCAGTTCCTCGACTACGGGAGGCTTGAGCACTAGCTCAGCGTCTCCCTAGGACCCCAGCCGTTCCCGGAGGACCTACGCCACCTCACCTTCTCTTACGCCAATGACATGGCATGGCTCGGCGGAGGGGAACCCCTCTCTCCGGAACACCTTATCCGAAGCACCCCGGTAGTGCTTCCGTTTAGTCTCCGTAATATCGCGAAGACCGTTAGCCACCTTGTGGCACAACGCATGATTCCACCTCCCATGAACGATGAATTCATGGGGGTGATCGAACATGTCATGGAATCTTTCCACGACCTCCTCGCAGAGGAGCTAGAGTCGCCCTCTGGCTCTGATTCTAGTAGGGGGAGTAATCACCCCTCTCGCGAATGCTTCATGACAGGTACCCCTGGGGGACATGTCGAAAGCGTCTACGAGGAGGAGGCTACCCCAACAAATGACCTCGACGACGAGGCCAAGAGGGAGACAGTAGCCCCGCCACGCATGCGGGTGGAACAGTTGAAAGCCCAACACCAAGAGCTTGAGGAAGCGTGACTCTAGCTCGAGCAGGAGCGCGCGGAGCTCGATCGGTAGATCGAGCACCATGGAGACGGCGGGTGCGCATGCGCCATGGCCCGTGACGTGAACCGAAGGATCATCGCAGACGATGAAACCCTCCCTTGCTTCGTCTGGGCAAGCCAGAACATTGCCGCCGTGATGGCCTTGCTCCATGGTCTTCCAGAAGCCGGGACGCCCTAGGATCATCGGGGCCACCGTGAGATTCGCACGCTGCTCGAGTGTGCGGCGGCGCAGCAGGCCGAGAGCTCGTTGTCTCGGTGATGCGAGCTCGATGCCAGCCAACACACGCTCTCCGAGTGCCCCGATGGGGACGCGTCGGTCCACTAGGCATCACAGGGCGGCAGGCAGCGCGCCGCGGTCCCGGTGCATCAGCGTCTCGGCCGCAACCATGACCCACGCGACACTCTCGACACTCGCAGGTGTACCCACGACGACCCTGGAGAGGGAGCTAGCCATGGCTATCACCCTCGTTGTGGTGGACACTACGACAGCGGCGAGGACCGAAGCCCAAGCCCCGGCCTGTCGGGGCCTCAGGCCTTCGGTCAATACATCCTCAACGCTGCCTTCCCACCAAGGTACCGGCCACCAACCCACATCCCAAAGTACTCTGGGGAGATGAATCCCGGACTATGGCTCGAGGATTATTGGCTTGCCTGCCAAGCCGGTGGTGTGGATAATGATGATTTCATTATCCGCAACCTTCCATTGTTCTTGGCCAATTTGGCACGAACATGGTTGGAACACCTGCCGTCCAACAGAATCCAGAGTTGGGCAGATCTGAAGGAGATCTTCGTGGGGAACTTCTAAGGCACATACAAGCGCCCTGGGAACCCATGGAACCTCAAGAACTGCTGACAGAAGGCCGGTGAAACCCTCTGTGGGTACATTCGGTGTTTCTCCCGACAGTGCAACGAGCTACCTAACATCACCGACGCCGACGTTATAGGAGCTTTCCTGTCTAGGACCACCTGTGAGTCCCTGGTCCACAAACTAGGATGCAAGGGCCCACAAACCACCAAATAACTCCTCGACGTCGCCGCTAGCCATGCCTCGGGCGAAGAAGCGGTTGGAGCGATCTTCGACCGCCTCAAAGGCAAGGCGGGGCGGGACGAAGACGCTAGCGAAGGCGGCTCCAATCATCCCGCCAAGAAGAAGAAAAAGCGACGGCGCGAGGGCTCGCTTGTGGCTGCTGCAGACCGCAGGGGTGGTCGGAAGCTCGTGGAGGGCACTCTGAACCACTTTGAGAAACTGCTCGAGGGACCATGCCCGAACCATGCCTTTCCCGTTAAGCATCTATACAAGGACTGCGACCTCATGACCGCACCACCTCCAGGTCGTCATAGACCACTCTAAGGGCGGCGCTTAGGATACCAAGCTCGTCGCTCTCCGTTTGAAGGTTCCTCCTAACCTCGGTGAGCTCTATGGCCAGCCCGGTAGAGACGGCCTCAGCCTCTAGCCTCCGGGTTGTAGCGGTTCTGAGCTTGGCCTAGAGGGAGCCGATCCTCTGCTGTGCCTCATCGCACTCTCGAATGGCCTAGTCACGCTCCTCACGGGCTATGCCACGCTCCGAGCGAAGCCTCCCCGTGGTTTGGAGCAGCTCATCTCGCTCCTTGCGCAGCCGGGCGACCGCCTCGGCATCCTGACTCGCCCTCCACTCTAGGGCTACGAGCTTCTCCTTGGCCACTAGCTTCAGCTCCTGTTCCTTCTCGGCCTCGGCCAGGAGGTCAAGGATCTGCTGGCGGGTCTTAGTGTCCCTCTGGAGCAGTT